ACATATCTAGATATGGTAAAAATGGAGTGCAGTTATTTCCAGACTTATTAGAAATCATGTTACTTATGTTTGCAGATGATGTTGTTCTTATATCTGATACAATATTCTAAATAATTACACTCAATATTCAGGTCTAAAAGTAAACTTAGACAAGACAAATATTGTTGTTTTTAGAGGGGGTGGGGGGCGCTTAGCAAGAAATGAAAAGTGTTTTTTTAAATGACCAACCAATAACAACATTAAATGCTTATAAATATTTGGGAGTTATATTTTCATCAACATTTAAGATGAGAAATTGCATCAATGATTTAGCACTAAGGGGTAAGCGGGCTTTAATGGAAGTAATAAATAATTTAAATGGAATTGGAATAGTAGACCCCAGTGTGTATTTTAAGATATTTGATGCGCAGATACAACCGATATTACTGTATGGGGCAGAAATCTGGGGAATACATAAATTTTATGAAATTCAAAAGGTTCATCTAACAGCTTGCAAACGTTCCATGAATGTCAGCCCTCAAACGCCTACTGCTATTGTATATGGCGAATGTGGAAGATATCCTCTCTTTATAAACGCATTGTGTAAAACTTTAAAATATTGGTTAAATGTTATTCATATTCATCAAGATACAACTCCCTTCAAAGTGTACAAAATGCAAATGTATTACGATAACTGTGGATATAAGACATATGCTTCATATATTAGAGAAATACTTTTTTCACATGGATTTGGTTACGTCTGGATGTCTCAGACAGTTGGTGATGCAGCTTCATTTGTAAATAGATTCAAGACTGTTGCAATCAATATGTGTTTTCAATCATGGAATTGTACATTGAATAACAGTTCACGATATCGTATTTACTGATAGTTTAAAAGTCTGTTAACTCCAGAAAAATATTTATCATGTATCTTGGACAAAAAGTTTCGAAATATTTTGATCAAATTTAGATGTGGGTTATTAAGGTTAAAGTATAATGAGGGAAGATGGTTAAATGTTGAGGTTGCAGAACGTAATTGTCCATTGTGTAAGCTGGGTGTAGAAGATGAGTATCATTTTATTTTTATATGTACTGAATGTAACTCCCTTAGATTAAAATACTTGCCACATGTATATCAGAAACAACCAAACTACTATAAATTTAAGTCCCTGTTATCAACAAATAATGAAACACTTTTAAGAAATTTATGTAAATATATCTTTCAGAGCAAACAAACTCCAATAAATTTTCTTTAAACCACACATTTTTCCATTTTAAATGTTTATAAAGGTGTGTATATATGTTTATATTAAATATTATATTTATACTGACAAGAAATCTATTTGAACAAATAACACGTGTATTATTGATATGTATGCCCTTTAAAGTGTATCTATATTTGTAAACAAATATATGTATGTTGTATATGGGCTTGTGGCCTACATACGGAATAAAAATACTTGACTTGACTTGATTCTACTCATGCTCAGTCTTTGTCCTTGTCTCCATATTTGAGACGTCCTTTTTCAACAGCTCTCTGGTTCCATGAAACCACATGTTTTTACCACTGATGATTCAGTTGGTTGGTTTGTTTGCTGTATAACGCCACACTCAGCAATATTCCAGCTATATGGCGGCAGTTTGTAAATAATCACGTTTGGTCCAGAGAATCCAGTGATCAACATCATGAGCATCCGTGCACGTACTCGGTATGTGATGACATGCATCGACCAACCGGCGAGACTGAGCACCCGATCCCGTCAATCGTCTCTTACTAGCATGGGTTGCTGAAGACCAATTCTAAACGGATCTTCACGGGTTTGTTGATCCAGACCACACTTTAGGTGAACCAGAATTTGTTGCAAGTGATATATTTCCAAGGATCCAGCGGACCTCAGTTACTGGTATATGAAGGTAGCAGCCGCCTGTTAAAAGCCTGTCCAACAGTCGCATTGTCAGGGTTTCGTACTGTGATCGTTTTATTTGTAACCAAAGGTTGACAAAGTTAAAGGTGCATCCACTGTCATGCTGTCGCTCTATCTGTAATATGCGAAAAATGTGCTCAGGAATCGATTTGGAAGGGTTGTTTTTCAACCGAAACTAAATAAAAGTGGAAACAAATAATGTTCTTCTTGCTGTCAAAACATGTTGGTTTACGTAAATGACTTCACAATGTAATGGAGCTTTTCTTAAGTCAGGATCAAAGATTTGTGTTATTTCGAGGAAAAAAAGATCAATGCCATTGATTCTTCTGACCTACAAAAAGTGGAACTACACAGACCTCTGGCTTATAAGTTATGTTCATGTTTAAACTTGGTGTAAACAGTCCCTCAGTCCAACCTTATCAGAACTAGTTAAACATATTCCCTTTTGCTTTCGTTAATAGCCCCCTTATTATTAACACCACCACCACTACCCCTTTCCTTGCCAGCCGCATCCCCCTTGATTCGTTCGTTACCAACACAAAACACCGTCAAAGGGTCATTTGAGAATCCACTCGGTTGAACACGGTAGTTTCATTTCCTCATTGAACACTTATACCGGGTATAATATCAGGGAATATTGACATTACTCTTCTGACAATACTCGCATGACAAGTTTCTGGTTTGCGTCCGATGCGTGACTGAGCTACGACAGTGTCCCAGCGGGGTGGGGCGGGACAAGGGTAGTGAGGAAAATCGCTGAGCAGAGAAGCCTCCCCAGGGTGAGAGGAAAACAGGAGGGTCCCCGTCACTTGGGGGTGGGTCGGGACAAGGGTAGTGAAGAGAATCGCTTACAGAGTGGCGCCCCTAGCGTGACAAAGCCAAGACGGTGTCCTAGTCACTCGGGGTGGGGCGGGACAAGGATAGTGAGGAAAGTCACTGACAGAATTGCGTCCACAGCGTGATAGAGCCAAGAAAGTGTCCTAGTCACTCGTGGTGAGACGGGACAAGGGTAGTGAGGAAAATCGCTGAGCAGAGTGGCGTCCTTAGTGTGAGAGACAAGCAGGAGTTGAATCTATACCATTGATACAACCATATATTTAAGAGCAACAAAGTAAGATCGTTTTTTTGTATCATGAGTGAAGCATCCCTCGACTAGAAATTGGGTTGCAGAATAAGCTACTTATGCCTAAAGACCCATCAAGACCTGATCACAATGATTAGGATCATTTAATAAACTGAATAATTTGAATCGTTCTGTCTTTTTCAATCCTATCCAAAAGGTAAAGAAATTCCTACATTAATGATAGCGCAATAGATAGAAAGTTATCCTTGTTTAAAAAGAAAGGTCTTGGTTGTCAAAATGAAGCTAAATTACAGATATGACATTTCCGCAATTCTGAGCTTGGGCCAGCAATTCAAGATTACAGGACCTGCTCAAATGAAAAGCAGGGCCCTTCCCACAAAGTGGCGAAGTCTTAGTGCGAAGACTTCCAGAACCACTGTACTTCAACACAATCTTACAACAGTTGTAGCACTGAGACCACAATGCGGAATAACTGTGACACTTATGAAGCACGGATCCTATGCCTCGTGTGTTCGTAACAGGAAGGTGCTGCTTAGTTTTGTGGGGTTAATAGCTGAGGAAGCATGCATATAAAGCGTAACTGACACGTCATTTCTTCGATACCCGCCAATGGATTGAGGAAATACGGTATCCTTTTCATGGTGCGCATGTGTAATATGTGACAAGTTATAAACAGTCCCTCAGTGCAACCTTATCAGAGTTAGAGCTGATAGGGCTGTTGTGGGGCCGAACGTGTCCTCACTACAAAAATGACTTGGTTTCCTGAAACCTGGAAACCATCCGTATACTGGGTAATTTGCGAATCCAGTTGGTTTCCATTCACTGAAACTGAGTAACTGAGTTTCCAACTAGTTTCCATTTTGGATTCTTTGATTTTTGCATTTCTGTAAACCAACAAGAAACTAAGGTTAGAGGTTTCTTGTTGGTTTCCATTCCTGGAATTGGCAATTGAAGTTTCATTAAATGGAAACCAACATGAAACCAGAATATGTAGTTTCATGTTGGTTTCCTGTGCACTGTTTTGAACTGAGTAACTTAAAATTTGCAAGTATTTGGCATAAAGTTGACCATCCTGGGATTCCATATGATGGGGAATTTTGAAAATCTAAATAGATGGATGATATTCTACGATGATTAAAAATTTTCACTGTAGTAATGAAAAATCTTAAACGTCAAAAAGTGAAATTTGAGGGGAAAATCGGTTGAATTATGTTTGCTTTAGAATGTGAAAGAGTATAAGCATTTAGGAACTTTAGTATAATGTAATTCAAACAATTGTCAATACATTACGGATTTCTCAATAACTAGAATATCAGGGAATTGTACTATGAATAGAGGTTGTGAGTAATGTTTACCATTAAAAGCATTTAGAGTTAGTATGCTTTGACAGTGAGTTCAAGTACCTGGCAAACAATCAGTGTCATGTCATTTGTATGTCGTGGTCTGTGTGTCGGCTTCCTTGGGGTTGTCTCGTCTTAACGGGCACCTATTATCAAAATTAAATTGCTGTAGAAGTAATGAGTCGGTAATCCGTGGGCACGCGCGAACTCGTGACATTTTATAAAAGCAATGGTTTTATGTACTGAAGTGGTCATTTTCGTCTTTTATGTCTTGAAATCACAACCAAATTGGGTCAGATAATGTTTTCATACCTGCCAATCGAAAAGGGATTATGTATTTGTTATTACCCACAATGCCCCTACACACAATTGCCGCCATTTTGTCACTTGATCTCATGAGAAGTTGTTTTGAAAGTGGGCCAAAGTGTCTCCCGTTATTAACACAACAAGGAACCCAGCACAGTGAATTATTCCTTCGCTTGTCCATGTTATCTGAATCAAGAAAATGGCAATGCGAGTTACACTAGAAGCTTTGGAGGCTCTGGTACGTGAAAACTTGAAGACAGGAGCAGTCGTCGATCGCGGAGGGAGAAAGGGAACATTCCACGACCATGTCAGGTACAGTGTAAATTTCTTGAATTAAGCAATAGCTCATGTTATGTGTAACGTTTAATGTACATAAGTAGCTAGGACAATAAATATGAAATCAAAATTTTGGACTTGATGGAACTCGATAAGCAATTGCGTGTCGAAATGTTGGCAAGAGATATGGCTTCCTTTACTTAGTCAACTCAAGAACTCGATTGTGATTTGGATCAGGTCACATACGACTAAATGGTTCATTATCGTAATGTATGAAGTATTATCTTTGCAAGAACAATATGAACCACAAATATATCCAGCAATGTGACGACTCAAGATAACTTCCAAACGTATTTAGAAGTATTCGAATATTATTGCAAGATATCCAATGATTGGAAGTTCTATTTTAAAGTTTGTTATTGCAAATTCCTTTTGATATTTGTACCACTGAAAACAATACAGTGGGGGATAGTGAGTCATTTTGCATTTATAGGAATTCTCTGAGCAGATTTGGTGCATGGTTAGAGTGAAGTTTCAAAATTCTTTGTCTAGTTATTAAAGTTACAAGACAGCCTATGACCCCCAAAAATCGACAATATTTTCCAGCCAACTTTTAAGACGATATTTATCATGATACTATAATGCTGTTGAGTGGATAAATTGTCAACACAATATATTTGGAAACTGTTTTTTAAAAGGGTTTCAAGTCGGTATAGGATGGATTACTGATCGATGTATGAGGTAATTTAAGTTAATCATCTGATGTAAACAATTTTACACTTAGAATGTCAAGATATCTAACTCTGAATGAAGAGATGTGGATTTTGTTAGATCCACAAAAGAAGTTTGTAAAGAAAGTTGGATATATAGAACGTTTAATAGGATATGTTGGGGATACATTGATGTACATTGCCAACCTAAAATTAAATGAACTTGTTAATTTTGCTTCTTTTGATATTAGCATATCTACACCTTGCAAATTGATATTTATTCTTCTATTTTCATGCCTTATTGTTATCAAGAGTACAATATCACTTAGATAGTTCCTGATTTTTCCCTTAATTTCTACATTTCCAGCATTCCATTGGGGCAGTGTTGCAAAAACTGAAGATGACTAACTGATCTTGACCTGCAACAGGTATGTGTAATCCAAACCCTTCAGTAAATGATGTACATAAAATTATCCAAATAATGTAAATCCTATGAATCAGAAAAATACATAAAAATTACACAACCCCATTTTCGTAACTTCCAACTGGAAATATTTTCCACTTATACACATCTCCTTTCAGAAGCAGTTTGGCGGTTTTGGACGAACAAGAGGGTTCATTCACCTAGAAGACAAAGAAGTGGGAAAGCAGAGGCCTTTGTCCGCAAAGAACAGCAAAAGATTCATATGTGTAAGTAAATTCTAACCGTTCTCAATTCTAATGTTACACAGGTTAAAATTTAAGGAAAACCTTATTTGAAAAAAAATCAAGTTAAAGAACAAATAAACTTTGTTTTTTTACTCTTTTAACTATTACATATGAAAGATTTGTGGTCAGTCTTATGGGGAACACCAAATTCATTCTTTAAAAACTTGTGGTTAATTTGTACCGAGCGATTAAAAGTTGCCAAAAAGTCGCCTGCTTCACTCTCGCCCGCCAACGAAACCACAGACAGGTTACGTAACTCTGTCGCCAGAGCACTGCAGTGACGTCATATGAGGAAGGATTTTCAGTTAGTTGTATAGAAAGTGTGTAGCAAGCTCGTCATTTTGATGATTTCTCGACATCAACGAAGACATGCCAAATCGTTGCGTTGTCGTCAATTGCTCCTAGAGGTCGGGCGATGGTGTCGCCATGCACAGATTTCCACAGGACCCCGCAGTTCGTGCAAAATGGGTTATGTTTGTGAGTGCGAAGCGAGCGTTGTGGAAGCCTGAAACGATATCTTACTTGTGTTCAGATCGCTTCACGGAAGTTAAAGAATCAAAACTACTTACTTATCATAGTAAAATATGTATATGATTGATGACCATAAAGATTTTCCATGACACAACTTGTAACATAACGATTTCTGCCTCAGAAGCGAGTTTGTGGTCGAAGTAACAATAATACTGTAAGTAGTATTATATTGACACCCACCTCGCCTCCACGAGAGAAATTGTTATGTTATACGCTATGTCATGCAAAATCCTATTGACCATCAATCAAATACATATTTTACTACCAGTAGAAAGAAGTTTTGATTTTGTAACTCGGTGAAAACTAACCTAAATACCATTTATACTCAGATTGGCGGATGTTCTCGACAGGGCGCCGCCATTTTTGAAAATCGTGAAGTCACGGGCTAAAGTCTGTTAGAATTAATGAGATTATGGTTTGTTTTCATCAAGTTAGAAAATCAAAACTACTTTCTACTCGTAGTTAAATATGTATTTGAATCATAACCAAAAGCATTTTGCATGACACAACTTATAACATAACGATTTCTTCCACGGAAGCGAGGTGGGGGGTCGAAGTGACAATGCTGCGCGATAACTTTCTTGCTACATTCACGTGGTTAACGTCCACTCACCAGTATGTATATACTAGTCAATGTACGTCTTTATATTTGGTCTTATAATCCTAATTAGTTTATTATCATACTTGTATGCATTTTGAAACTAAATAAAAAGCAGACGATCTGCTAATACTTATAGTGCATTTATAATAGGACTGTAATATCTGGACATTTTATAGTTTGCCAATGTGAATCATAATTCGCACACACGCCCTAGTATGTCTCATTACACTTCATGGCGAAAACAACAATTCTGTTGAATGCTACGACAAATGAATAAAAACAAAATGCAAATATTAAAATTAAAACAGAATAAATTTATAGGAACAATGTCAGGCTATTACCTTGTTCGAGGAAAGTATCCATCAATATAAAAAAACCGAGTGATATGCCATTCATCTGCAGCTGTTCCAAGTGATGTGTCTTTCAACAGTCTAGTATATGAAAACGTGATATATAGTTTCAGGTATGTCACATTGGTGTATAGTCTCATTGGTCACCCAAGATAGCACACCTGGCAACTGATTGCATAATGTCCACCATTCTTTAAAAACGGTAATTTAGTTAGCCAATAATGAGCAATCAATCACTGTATTGGCGGTTAATCCTTTGAAGGAAGGACGTTGTTTTACGCAGACACAGCCACGACAGAGTGTATTCAGTATAGATTAATAAATCTACATAGATAAACACTACCTTTGACAAATCCGCTGTGTAAGATAAAAGTAATCAATCAATCAGCGTGTTCTCGGTTAATCCTTTTATCGATGTTTATAATGTTGAATATTTACTCCAGACACAAGAAATGCCAAATGGGAACCTTTGTCGGGTAATCTAAGTGGTGTTACCACTAATTATACCTGTTATAAATTCATTAACTGACCATCAAGTGAATGATGACAAATAACATGTGTAGGTTTATACCACCTAACACGGGTTACAACGAGGGAGTATTAATTGCTGTATTGCATGCAATTTTAATTGCATGTGAAAACTTATGGGCCGAAACTGTTTTGAGAATACAAACAGAACTTCATTGTTGCATAAGAAATACATATAAGCATTTGCTGTGTGCTAAAACTGTATGTACCTATTTACCTAAGTAAAATTTCAGATTCTTCTAGCAATGGCAAAATAGGGTTGTTTAGTTTACCGATTCAAATAAATCAAATGTCAATTTTTAATATCACGCGTAATAGACGTCATATTTTTACATGACATGATTAAATATCGAGGTAAAAAAACACAGAAATGGGATCAATTTGGATCAGTCATTATACAAATAAGGCCTAACGACACCAAGCGATTTTGACAGAATCGTCTATGAAAACAAGTTGTAACTCGGAAACTAGGCAAAGCAGGAGACAAAATTATATGACAGAAGATTGTGAGAACATATAGCTTTCATTTTCCACAACAGTTGTCACGATTTCAGGTTTATACAAACCTGTAAACAAGATAATTTACCCCTGAAAATGTAGATGAATTCTGCATCGGCCCTCATATCTATTCCTCATATGACGTCACAGAGACGCCCCGCTCTGATTGGTTGAAATTTCATTCGCGGGTGAGAATTGTGCACTGTTGTCAAAAAGGTCGATTTAAGTTGATTAAAGATCGAAGTGAGTAGTTTTAATGACAGGGTTTCATTTATAGCGATGCCAGTTAGTGATTTATGTATTTGACACCAGGCGAGCATGTCCTGCCCTACTGGTACACAATTTGCAGAAATAGTGTTCCTCAAAGCGGAAATATATAAACAACGTTGAGGGAAGTAAATGTCCCAAAGGACGTGTAAGTCAGGAAACTGTGAAGAGAGTAAAAGTCGTAAAAGATGTAAGAAAAATGTAAAGCCATGTTTGTAGAAAATATAACAGATATGTAAGTCTCGAAAACGAGAAGGAGCGACAGTCGTGAAGGACCTGGAAGTAGAAAAACGTTCCACATCAAAACTAATATGTGTCAAAAAGCCTAGTCGATTGTGCGATTCCGATTAAAACAATGTGTTCATGTTTATTAAATATTGATATCAGCTGTTCGCGAACAGTTGAACGTATCCTGCATAACAATTGGTATTCTTCACACACACGTGTAAAGCCAGACAACTGTTCACCCCAAAAACACGTGAACACATGGTACAAGTTATATTGGGGGATTGCTTCGGATATCATTTATTTACTGATGCATCCAATTTAGAAATGTTCCCCATGTGAGTATAATATAACCTTTGGATAGCTTTACTTAGGCCTTGAATGTTGTAACTTTGATCGAACAAGTTCTGAGCAAGAGTCATATAAAGATCTTTGACATCCTGGTGACTGAGCATACTCGATTGTACCTCAAAAGTTGCGAAATGAGAGCACCAAAGGCTGGTGCTGTTGGAATATTGCTCGACATTAAGAGAAAGTTTACTATTGGAACTTGGAAGATGACATAATCCTTTTTGTCATACATCCTTGGGGTGAGGCTTTGTTCTTTAAGGTTGTGGACATCTGAAGGGTGGCTTAGGAAAATATACATGCATATGGTAATGCTTCCGAAGGTTTGAATCCCAGATTGGACCTGGTTATGATCCATGGTTTGACTGCACCATACTACGGCATGTTACCAGGAGAGCAAACCTTCACCAGCCTCACTTTGATCTTTCTTACCATGATACTTCCCCACATGGGTACAATGTATGAAACCCATTTCTGGTGTCCCCGCCGTGATATTGCTGGAATACTGCTAAAAGCGGCGTAAAACTAAAGTCACGCACTCACTCTTACCATGATACATAACTGATGCTCAGTCCATCTCTCTCCTCAATGCATGTACGAACTTTGTTGAGTCATGTCCAATATTGAGACCACACAGTTCCACGTTTCATCTCAGACGGTGAACTCCCCAATACATAAATCACAACCAGAACATGTACACAATACCACGTGCCTCTAGTGACAGTCAACATTACATCAGCACATCGCTACATGACCACCTATCGTATCCACACGGGAAAACTGGGACGTTGTGGTCAGAAACCATTCCTATCCTACTACACTCCAGCATATTGCGTTGCAGATTTTTGAAGAGAACACTTGTGATGCCTACACATGACCTTCCACCAACAACCCACAGTGCCGCAAATATGCATAGATTTGCTGATAAATTACCCCCGAACTTTAGACGAATGTGTTCGTTGCTGGACACTCAGTGTTTTCTGCTGTGTCATTTCCGCGGCTCAATAAATATAGATCGGGAACACAGATAAGCAGGATCACATCAAAATGGTCAAGGCAAAGAAGTGGATACTTGCTTCACAATTTGTGGGGGAGCCAAAGGGCTCCAACTTCAAGTTCGAAGAGGAGAACCTTCCTGCATTGAAAAATGGAGGTGAGAGTATGGCGTAATGATGGCCTTGTGATCTCCCACTTACACAGTCCGCCGCGATTATGTTTAAGTATTGTTGCATCTGGAGTAATATATGGCAATCACTCATATACATTTTAATTATTGATGGGTGTATTATTTCAACCACTGTCAGACGAAAAACTAGATGCAATAGTTTCAAGCATCTAAGCTTTCTAACATGTCACAAATGTTAGCGTTCCTTTGAATTAGGAAAAGCCTAAAGCAGCCATTTTTGTAAGATAAGATAGTTTTTCATCGACATTTCTCTTTCCTTGATTAGTTTTCTCATTGCTTTGTGTATTTTCTCGTTATTTCAATTATTTTCTTATTGCTTCTATTAATTGGTCAAGTATTTTCTCGTTACTTGAAGTTACTTTTAACAACTTGAAATGCAGAAATTCAGAATGATTTCTCGTTGCTTCGACATTTCGACTTCGATTAATTTTCGTGGATGTTTCGGGCTAGTACTATTTTAAGACATAATATAAATCTAAGCATGTGAAGCATGCATATGACATCGTTGCCATCGTTAATAGTGAGTGATAATGAGTTTTACGCCGCTTTTAGCAATATTCCAGCAATATCACCGCTTGGCGGAACACCAGAAATGGGCTTCACATTGTACATGTGGGGAATCGAACACGGGTCTTCGATGTGCGAGCAAACGCCCAGACGTGACTTAATATGTCATGTTTAGATTCTTGTCAAAATTAATGAGCTTGGGCATAAGCTTTAAGCTTGGGCGTAAATTGTTAAATAATATAATCTCTTTAATTTGATTTATTACTCATTTAGTATTAAGATATGGATATAATGATACATACTTTGAAATTAATTCAATGATTTATATACTATTCTGCCTTGTTTCGTTTGATTTAGGACTCATTAAGTTTTACTAATTGCATATATTGATACATACTTTGAAATTAAGTCAATAATTGAACATCTTCAAGGATTTAAGTTACATTCTGTCCTATTATTTTTAGTTACATAATCAGCAGTCTCATAAAACTTTAGAAACAAAAGCATTTAGAATTAGGAGAAAGAGTACAAATCTTTGGTCAATTCTTTAAAGGTCACATGCAACGTAAAACACAACTTTGCAGATTCTGATACCTTTCGGTATGGACGTACCGAAACAAATCATCAAAAATGCAAATTCAAGTTATAAAGTTGAAAAATAACGCGATGAAAAAAACCGCGCGAAATCGGAGTTCAAACGATTCACTAATTTTCCCCCGGGCTGTCTGGTGAATACTCGGTGAAGGCTTTGGTGTGAGCTATTTTCATAATGTTTTGTTGATATCTCACAGGCGCGAGCTTTTTATATGTTATGACAGTAAATAAACTGTTTATATAATTTCATTTGTCTATTTCACCACACTTTCTTCTTACCGAGTCACTTTCTCAGTTCGATACTTAAAAGCAATGTCATTATTTAGCGTTGACAGTATTTCTAACTGTGATATAGATATGTCGTTGTCACAGACAAAACTCAATGTCTTGTTTTATTGACACCTGTGTGTCTGCCTGCCTGTCTGCTAATGACAATATTCAATACACAACTGCGATCACTGACCACATGCAATTTGAACTTAACACCAATCAGGCTATACACCATAAACAAAATGCATTGATTTATGGCCCGAGTTCGGTCTCTGTCACATTATGTAATAACACAGACAGGCAGGTGTGATACTTGAACACATGACATGTTATGATGTCTGTTGATTGCAAAATGTTATACACAAAAAATGAGCATGTATTTACAAAACCCAACATCTCTATATATACACACACAATGAGCCGTGAAGGCGGCATCTGCTAATGAACCAGCCGTTACACTTTAGTGCACATCCACCCGCTCTGACTGGGTTCGGTATCCCGGCTGCTTCGTTTCGAGGGAGGTAAACCCAAGTACAAAATATTGCACTTTTGATTTGCGATTATACGCTTATAATTTTGTTCATTAGTTTTTTCATAATTAGCAATGCATATTCTACCATGACTTCAGTAAACACTGGATTGTGATTGGTTAATTAAAGTCATTCAGAGGTATATAATCACGTTATACAGGTCTCTGTTTTCCGTGCGCAATCATACATGGTTTACGGTAATGCACTATTTTTGTCTGCCCACTAACATGGCGGACACCGAACAACCTACCGATGCATCGATAAATTACGGCGATTTTACTGTCGGAAATTACACATATGTCTTTAAAGATGGATTTAGCGATGACGGGCACGACTCACTACTTGCGTAAATCACAGCAATAGGTGTTTATACATACAAAAGTACTTCGAAAGCATGGAAACAAATATTCAGTCGAACAAGATCAAAACATCGTCTGCTTTCCGAATAAAAATTCAGCAAAAACAAATATGTTTACGTTGATTCTATGTTATGTCAGAATAGATCCAGTAATAGACTGCTACAAAATTTCCGTGTTAAATTTATTATCAGCTTTCGTCAACGATATCGCCACTGATCTTGATCCGGTAACGGAGGATGCATTAACATCGAACGCCGAAGAAATTTTAGATTCTAATGCCTTCCGTCCACATAAATAAACAGTTGGGTTATCAATTCAAACAAAATGATATTTTGAAATTTGTACTGTTTCAAATTTAGCGGTAGTAAAACACAATTAGATCTACAGAATCTGCAAAACCGTTCTGTTTAGCCCAACATATTTTTTTTTCTAAATGTATAATATCGTTGAAAAAGTTATTTAGCTTAGTCATGATCCTCTTATCCATTACACTGCTTGATCTAAAGTAGTCTATTAAAGTATAATTAATTACCTTACCGTGTTTATGCCAGAGGTACACCCTCGTGTCCTGATCCATCCTTTCGGAAATATCACCAAAAATCTGGCTCTTTGTCAACAGACTCGCGAACATGCCAGCCAATCCGATTCAATTTGAATTCACTACACTTTGAAGCAACTAGGTCACAAAACACTTTCCAAAATGTAGAAAATAATATCCGTAGAATCGAATTTGAGCACAAAGTACACACATGAGTGTGTAAGAGTCACCACAGCTGTCGCACGCAGACGTAGAGGTGCGTGAAATCGTCAAGTTGACAGGGCGCAAAATTCAACAGTATCTAAATTCGGTACAACACGGACTTCTCGTTACAGCAAAAGCGCCCCTACTCTTAAATTTTGTACCAGTACCAGTAATTAGATATCAAAGACTATCTCAGTCATACAATCAGGTTAACCTTGCGCAAACTGTCAGTGGCTCTCCTGTCGCATCTTTCCAAATGTAAACAATGACTTCGAGAAAAGGTCAAGGCCATGAGGTTGCTGCCACTATTCTGGTGGGGAAAGGGTCTACGGTGGAATTTTCAAATGTGAACCAAGCTTTTGAAACTTATTTGATATATGTTTTCCAACTTATCAGTTAATGATTTGTGATTGATGCATTGAAAAAACAAAACGTGATTTGTTATTACTGAATCTGGAGTTTGTTAGTCATTGACGGTTTGCCACCAAACACCCTGTTTCGGGCGATACCACTTGAGATTGGAATGCGAGGCCGCTTCACGTATTGACTCGTAACCAAAGAAAGAGCTCCACCTGAAATTGTTCATAAAATTGTCATGGTAGAATGGAGATAAACCTACTGTGTTGGAAAATCAGAGGTATATAACGAAATTATAATAGGCTCTAAATTGTTCATTTAAAACCTCACGCTACGCTGTTCGGTTTTAAATGAAATTTAGAGCTATTATAATTTCGTTATATACCTCTGATTTTACCACACAGTAGGTTTATCTCCTAATTATATGTCATGAAGAAGTGATAATTGTGTTTTAATTATGTTTGATTTTTTGGTTGCATTTGACCTTTAAGATACACATACAAAATGTCTTGGAAAGGGCAGCCAGTAAATTTTGATTTACCAAAAAAGAGACCTTTAATTTTAAAGAACAAATAAACTTTGTTTTTTTTTACTCTTTTAACTATTACATATGAAAGATTTGTGGTCAGTCTTATGGGGAACACCAAATTCATTCTTAAAAACTTGTGATTAATTAGTACCGAGCGATTAAAAGTTGCCAAAAAGTCGCCTGCTTCACTTTCGCCCGCCAACGAAACCACAGACAGGTTACGTAACTCTGTCGCCAGAGCACTGCAGTGACGTCATATGAGGAAGGATTTTCAGTTAGTTGTATAGAAAATGTGTAGCAAGCTCGTCATTTTGATGATTTCTCGACATCAACGAAGACATGCCAAATCGTTGCGTTGTCGTCAATTGCTCCTAGAGGTCGGGCGATGGTGTCACCATGCACAGATTTCCACAGGACCCCGCAGTTCGTGCAAAATGGGTTATGTTTGTGAGAGTGCGAAGCGAGCGTTGTGGAAGCCTGAAACGATATCTTACTTGTGTTCAGATCGCTTCACGGAAGTTAAAGAATCAAAACTACTACTTATCGTAGTAAAATATGTATATGATTGATGACCATAAAGATTTTCCATGACACAACTTGTAACATAACGATTTTCTGCCTCAGAAGCGAGTTTGTGGTCGAAGTAACAATAATACTGTAAGTAGTATTATATTGACAACCACCTCGCTTCCACGAGAGAAATTGTTATGTTATAAGCTATGTCATGCAAAAATCCTATTGACCATCAATCAAATACATATTTTACTACCAGTAGAAAAAGTTTTGATTTTGCGTAACTCGGTGAAAACTAACCTAAATAGCATTTATACTCAGATTGGCGGATGTTCTCGACAGGGCGCCACCATTTTTGAAAATCGTGAAGTCACGGGCTAAAGCCTGTTAGAATTAATGAGATTATGGTTTGTTTTTCATCACGTTAGAAAATCAAAACTACTTTCTACTCGTAGTTAAATATGTATTCTACCATGAATCAAGGAAATACTAGATTCTGATTGGTTGTTCAGAAAATCAGACGGCATCAATTGTGGATTGATGCTCATCTGATGTAAGGCCGCTTCACCGCGCATTAACAAATCTTATTGTGAGAACTACTTCCGTTTGACCACAATGATGGCGGATCATAACAACAACTCCATGGATTTTGACGCTGACTTTCGAATATTCCATAGGCAATTGGAAATGTTTGGAATAAAATGCATTTGATTTCATTGCGCTTCACTGTGCACGTATGGAACACTGCCGCACTACTTCAGCTTGACCACCAACATGACTAATATCAACACAACAGACGTGATGAAATGCTGATAAAACATTTATTTTAAACTCGAAAAGTACAATTATATGATTTCCCCACAATTATGAGGAACCTCACTATCATCAGGTCACCCTCTATTATAAAAATATTCAAACTCAGTTTACAATACAAAAAGCCCCAAACATAAAAACAAAACAATATCTAACATATAAATCAGAAAAGCCTTGTAAAAATACGTCCTATCTATACAAAATATGCAGCAAAACATAGTACACATTTACCTACCTGGTAAATGGTATATTTAATTCCGTTTAGAATGGGAAAATTCAAGATAGATCTAACGGTCTGGCGAAACACCACATTTATGCCACTCACAGGTATACTCCATCATATCCCGTTGCATCATTCACAAAAATAAATCTGCTCTCTCTGCCAGCTTCCCGCAAGGTTGTCACTGTTATGTTCATCTACTTTGAAACACGCTTGGACACAGTCCAGTCCCAAATGATGAAAACAAAGTTCCAAGGAATCACAAGTTAGTCGCATGTAATACGCCTAGCAGCACTGTCACCCCTTTGTCCTGCATGCCGGGGTGGAGGCAGTAAGTGAAATCATGATCGGCCGGTCATAAAAATCAACAGTCTTTGATGAGTTACAGGTCGTAGGTTGATCAGGAAAGGATCTATTCTTCGATTCTGCAGGGTTCAGATTCGACAGTTAGTCATATTGCCCCACTGTCACTTCAAATTTCAACTTTTCGCAAAACGTAAACACTGGCTCGTCCGCCATTTCAAACTGTTGCGTAACTGACTACTTCGATGAAAATAAGTAGGTCAGACGATTCCATTATAGTGTGTAGGGGGTACAGTTTCACGGCACACAAACAATAGGCTGGTATTAGTCGTGTGGAGTTGGAATGAAAAAAACCCCAAGATCTCGGGTATTACATAATTGCATTGAATAAACAGTAGTTTGATTTCTTTAGACAGAATATTGTTATGTTGTAATGTTAAAAAAATACGAACGACACCTACCGCACCCTTCACAGACGAGTTCAATTCGCCTCTCGTCCCATGCCGGATTACGCAGTGTCTTCCGCAGAGCGAGGAAGTTCGATTTTAAATGGTTCATAGTAGAATGGAGATAACCCTTGTGTGTTTGAAAATCAGAGACATGCTTTACTGAATTGATGGCGACTAAACATTTCAAATGAAACCTCACGCTACGCGTTACGAGACCTCACGCTACGCGTTCGGTTCCAATTGAAATTTATCTCCTAATTTGAATCATAACCAAAAGCATTTTGCATGACACAACTTATAACATAACGATTTCTTCCACGGAAGCGAGGTTGGGGGTCGAAGTGACAATACTGCGCGATAACTTTCTTGCTACATTCACGTGGTTTACGTCCACTCACCAGTATGTTTATACATGTACTAGTCAATGTACGTCTTTATATTTGGTCTTATAATCCTAATTAGTTTATTATCATACTTGTATGCATTTTGAAACTAAATAAAAAGCAGATGATCTGCTGATACTTATAGTGCATTTATAATAGGACTGTAATATGTGGACATTTTATAGTTTGTCAATGTGAATCATAATTCGCACACACGCCCTAGTATGTCTCATTACACTTCATGGCGAAAACAACAATTCTGTTGAATGCTACGACAAATGAATAAAAACAAAATGCAAATATTAAAATTAAAACAGAATAAATTTATAGGAACAATGTCAGGCTATTACCTTGTTCGAGGAAAGTATCCATCAATATAAAAAAAACCCGAGTGATATGCCATTCATCTGCAGCTGTTCCAAGTGATGTGTCTTTCAACAGTCTAGTATATGAAAAGTGATGATATATAGTTTCAGGTATGTCACATTGGTGTATAGTCTCATTGGTCACCCAAGATAGCACACCTGGCAACTGATTGCATAATGTCCACCATTCTTTAAAAGCGGTAATTTAGTTAGCCAATAATGAGCAATCAATCACTGTATTGACGGTTAATCCTTTGAAGGAAGGACGTTGTTTTTACGCAGACACAGCCACGACAGGGTGTATTCAGTAAAGATTAATAAATCTACATAGATAAACACTACCTTTTGACAAATCCGCTGTATAAGATAAAAGTAATCAATCAATCAGCGTGTTCTCGGTTAATCCTTTTTATCGATGTTTATAATGTTGAATATTTACTCCAGACACGAGAAATGCCAAATGGGAACCTTTGTCGGGTAATCTAAGTGGTGTTACCACTAATTATACCTGTTATAAATTCATTAACTGACCATCAAGTGAATGATGACAAATAACATGTGTAGGTTTATACCACCTAACACGGGTTACAACGAGGGGAGTATTAATTGCTGTATTGCATGCAATTTTAATTGCATGTAATGAAAACTTGTGGGCCGAAACTGTTTTGAGAATACAAACAGAGCTTCATTGTTGCATAAGAAATACATATAAGCATTTGCTGTGTGCTAAAACTGTATGTACCTATTTACCTAAAGTAAAATTTCAGATTCTTCTAGCAATGGCAAAATAGGATTGTTTAGTTTACCGATTCAAATAAATCAAATGTCATTTTTAATATCACGCGTAATGGACGTCATATTTTCACATGACATGATTAAATATCGAGGTAAAAAGCACAGAAATGGGATCAATTTGGATCAGTCATTATACAAATAAGGCCCTAACGACACCAAGCGATTTTGACAGAATCGTCTAAGAAAACAACAAGTTGTAACTCGGAAACTAGGCAAAGCAGGAGACAAAATTATATGACAGAAGATTGTGAGAACATATAGCTTTTCATTTTCCACAACAGTTGTCACGATTTCAGGTTTATACAAACCTGTAAACAAGATAATTTACCCCTGAAATGTAGATGAATTCTGCATCGGCCCTCATATCTATTCCTCATATGACGTCACAGAGACGCCCGCTCTGATTGGTTGAAATTTCATTCGCGGGTGAGAATTGTGCACTGTTGTCAAAAAAGGTCGATTTAAGTTGATTAAAGATCGAAGTGAGTAGTTTTAATGACAGGGTTTCATTTATAGCGATGCCAGTTAGTGATTTATTTATTGTACCCCCCTAGAGTATATGTGATCTTCAATGTAATTTCATGAAAATGTACACTGATATTCAAAAGAGCTTTCAAAATAAACACTGTTTAATACGTGCAATGTATAATTAGAAATATGCAGCTAAAAGAGTTTTAAATAGTATATAGTAAAGCGCCAATGTACATTTATTAATTTATTAACAACACCCCACTAAATAGTAGCTGCAAGCACATTGTCAATAGCAGTATGAGATATTAGTTATGGAGGTCCGCCTTTGACCCCATTCTATTTCTTGTCTGCCAGAATGACCCGTCATTATTTTTTAAACCCAAAAATTTCTTTTCACATTATTTTCAAAATAATGGATAATTCGTAGTTCTATACATGTGATATCAAAGCATAATGTATGTAACATTCAGAAAATAAGTTATAGCTTTCACATGAGAATTTCTCGGAAAAATAGGCAATGATAGTATGAATTTGCTAGTGTGCATTCCTAAGAGATGTTATTAATTCAATGTCAATGTTTTTCTATAAGTCACAACTGTTATTTAGTGAAAGAAAAACCTTTTGTCAGTCATCAAATGTCCAACCAAAGCTAAGGAAATATGTCCTTTACTCTCGCTTGTCTCTCTACTCTTACAAAATTTCACTAAGTTCTTCTGCGATTGAAACTTTTATCACTTTTCAGGTCAAATGATCAGTTTTGATTTATTGAACTTCGTGCTTATTGAACAGTGGTTACAGTTTATTTTTCCTCAAGCTTAAGGAACATTGGACAGTTTTCCTTTCTCCAGCTAGCGAAATTGTTGACGAATGTTTGTTTGTACCTGATTGTTTATTGTTTCAAATATCAGAAGCTGGAAAGCAGGAAGAAGGTCCTGACAACGATTGACTGGCCGGAGAAGAAGAAGCAGAAAGTTCTTCCTCTCTTGGGGAAAGAGTTAACATTTCTCAAATTGGCAAACCAAATAATATGGATTCATCTACATTGATGAGTTTAAGGAAAACATTCCATACTCACTGCTATTTATTCCCATATTGCTTTTAATTATTCTCATGCCAATAAAAGCCCACTTTATGTACTACCGTTATCTAACATACTCTCATACTACCGGGTATAATCTATTTCACACACACAGACACACGCACACGCACGCACGACCGTACGCACACACGCATGTAAGCACGAACGAACGAGCGAACGAACGTTCGAACACACGCACGAACGCAGGTAGACACACCTAATTTTTCATCTTTCAGTCGCATCACGTTATAGCTTTTTGGTAAAGTGCTTTGTTCTCTATTATGTAGATAGTAGATTTTTTATGTAAACCCACCTACCCTGTCGGCGACATCGTCTACATCCTGAGGCGGGTGTAAAATCTCATATGCCTGACTGACTGTACGAGGTGCACCACAGAGCCTTCAGACGTGCCAGTATGGATCGGAACATACCCCTTATCGATTTGTCAAAATTATACGTTTATCTCTGAAATATAGAATTTATATGTATAGCCTGTTTATAGGGTAGTGTGAGTGTGTATCTCTCTCTCATCCTCTCTCTCTCCCACACACAAACTCCCTCTCTCAATATTGCTGATGAAGGGTAAAGATGTAACATGTCACTGACATCTCAGTACTGAAGTAATATTCTTGCTGTTTGCCGTCTGCTCGTTCAGTTGTGTAACGTGGATACACATAAAGATAAAGCAAATGTATTACGATTAGGTGTCGAGTCCTCTTGTAGCTTACAGAAAGGGTAAATGGTGACGGATGCAGTCCTGTACTGTATGGTACATGTAGATTCAGGACGACGCTCTTGGAGTAGTGTGTGATACATGCATGCACACCCGGAAGACTGAAGACTCAGGTTTTAGCATAAGCCTATATGGTGTCTATTGCTACTATAGTGCATGCCGGAAACCAAAGTGTGATTCATCACATAGCTGTAATTTGTGAAGCATATATCTGGAGTTTATTGCTGCAAAATTGCATGTCGAAGACTGAGGTCTGATTCTCCACATAGATATAATGGGTGAATCGTGTATCTAGTGATATTGCTGAAATATATCGCACTTGGAGTTGGAGAATTATGGTGTTTTCTTAATGGGTCTTTGTATGAGCGCTTTAATCCATGTTGATTTGGTGTTGTTGTTGGGTTTTTGGTAGGGAATGGATTTGTGATTTAATTAGTTGTTTTGATTCAGTTTTAGATGTGGGAAGATGCAGTTGGGTGTTTTTTGTGTTGTGGCTAGTTTGGCTGCTGTGGCTCTTGTGTCATTGCCGTTGATGTTTATGTGACTGGAAATGCAGAGAAGGATGTTTTTTGTGTTGCTGGAGTGGAGTGTGTGTTGTTGGATGGTGTTGTGGAGGATATCGTTTCGTAATTTGGAGCACATGTTTTGTTTCTGTGTGATGGCACTGAGTGAGTCTGTTATGAATAGGAAGTGAGAAGACTGTGGGTGTTAACAAGGTGGAGTGCTCCTCAGCTATTGTATCGGCCCAACCTAGTTATATTAATATATATACTAGTTATATATATTTCCTTTTCTTAGCAGCAGCTTACAATTAACTGCACTTCAAAATAAAAGCCCACTTTATGTACTACCGTTATCTAACATACTCTCATATTACCGGGTATAATCTATTTCACACACACAGACACACGCACACGCACGCACGACCGTACGCACACGCATGCAAGCACGAACGAACGAGCGAACGAACGTTCGAACGCACGCACGAACGCAGGTATACACACCTAATTTTTCATCTTTCACGTTTTAGCTTTTTGGTAATGTGCTTTGTTCTCTATTATGTAGATAGTAGTTTTTATGTAAACCCACCTACCCTGTCGGCAACATCGTCTACATCCTGAGGCGGGTGTAAAATCTCATATGCCTGACTGACTGTACGAGCTGCATTCGCTCGGCACCACAGGGCCTTCAGACGTGCCAGTAGTCTGTATAATAATCCCAGAAGCTCATTATTTTACCTTACCTGTAACTATGGATCGGAACATACCCCTTATCGATTTGTCAAAATTATACGTTTATCTCTGAAATATAGAATTTACATGTATAGCCTGTTTATGAGGTAGTGTGAGTGTGTATCTCTCTCTCACCCTCTCTCTCTCCCACACACAAACTCTCTATCTCTCAATATTGCTGATGAAGGGTAAAGATGTAACTGTAACTGACTTCTCAGTACTGAAGTAATATTCTTGCTGTTTGCCGTCTGCTCGTTCAGTTGTGTAACGTGGATACACATAAAGATAAAGCAAATGTATTACGATTAGGTGTCGAGTCCTCTTGTAGCTTACAGAAAGGGTAAATGGTGACGGATGCAGTCCTGTACAGTATGGTACATGTAGATTCAGGACGACGTTCTTGGAGTAGAGTGTGATACATGCATGCACACCCGGAAGACTGAAGACCCAGGTTTTGACATAAGCCTATGTGGTGTCTATTGCTTATATAGTGCATGCCGGAAACCAAAGTGTGATTCATCTCATAGCTGTAATTTGTGAAGCATATATCTGGAGTTTATTGCTGCAAAACTGCATGTCGAAGACTGAGGTCTGATTCTCCACATAGATATAATGTGTGAATCGTGTATCTAGTGATATTGCTGAAATATATCGCATGCCGAAGATACAAGGACGACCCTTAGAGGAGAGATTAAGGTAGTGAAATGGCTGCCTGGTGCAGTGAAACCAGTTCCATTATTGGCATTGACTCAAAGACGACTTTACTGGAAGCAAGCACCAACGCCGGTGTTGCAGACAGGGATAAGGGACGATCACTTGCAGCAACAGTGTATGATTTGTCATCTTAAATCTTTTCAATTCCTTAAGGTGTGGCAACTGGGAAAAGAGAACTCGGTATTGTGCTCTATGGTTGTAATGTCAGCTGCTATATCAGTGATGCAGTGTACACCCAGCTAATGGGCAGAAGACCTGACATGCCAGACGGACATCGACAATTGACTCTTATTGACGTTTAGTATGCATACTCATGTAACTTGTAGTATCTGCTGTTTAGCAATTGTAGCTGATCCACTGTCATTATCAACAGAACCAAAAGAAAGAGCTCTGATCTTCCACCATGGCCTTCCTACATACAGTAAAAAGCATCTTCACAACGGGAAGACTAAGGAATCAAAGTTGTATCCTTCCAGCTTATAGAAAGGCGATCCTAGGTTTCGGATTGTATTTGTGTTGTAGAGATGTTTAAAATAATTGTCCATTATTTGATTGTGTGGGTATTAAATTCATCAGGTATGATGTCTCTTCATGTAGCTATGATGCACACCTCCTACGTCCTGATCATGTTAACTATCTCTCTCGTGTAAAAGAGTAACCTAAAACCGAACTAAAAACTTAAACCTAACAAAAATTAAATTAAATTCCAACACATATAACAAAAGGAAAGAAAAAAGGAAAGACTAAGCAAGACATGACATGCCAGACGGACATCGACAATTGACTCTTACTGACGTTTATTATGCATACTCATGTAAGTTGTAGTATCTGCTGTTTAGCAAGTGTAGCTGCTCCACTGTCATTATCAACAGAACCAAAAGAAGTCACAGAGCTCTGATCGTCCACCATGGCCTTCCTACGTACAGTAAACAGCATCTTCACAACGAGAAGACTTTGAAATCAAAGTTGTATCCTTCCCGCTTATAGAAAGGCGATCCTATTTTTCGGATTGTATTTGTGGCTTAGAGATATTAAATTAATTGGCCATTATTTAATTGTGTGCGTATTAAATGCATGACCTATGTTTTTCTATCCATGTAGCTATGATGCACACCTTCTTCATACTTATCATGTTAACTATCTCTCTCGTGTAAATAGGTAAACCCAAACAGAAATGCTACGAAACAATTAGGATGGAATTACAAATAAAAGCAAAAATAACAAGGTAATAAAATAAAGTTAAATTCCAAATATCTCTAACCATAAGAAGGAAAGAAACTAAAGTAATAATACAAGACGAACACATAGACGTAAAACTAAAAGCATAGCGGAAACGGAAACACAAAATTAAACACGTGCAGATGAAACTACAGCAAAATAAAACATCACTCTAAATGATAACAGGATCTCAGCAGTTGTTTACTATATCCTTAATGGTCACATCGCTGGCACGTTAAAGAGACTGACCGGAGACTGACCCATGTCGACAAAGGCCATAAATGATAACAGGATCTCAGCAGTTGTTTACTATATCCTTAATGGTCACATCGCTGGCACGTTGAAGAGACTGACCGGAGACTGGCCCATGTCGACCAGGGAAGGTGGTCATTGTCGATGTTACAACACTGCCTGTCACGTTGCTGTTAAATACGCATAATCCGGGTCAATCTCAGTCTCTATCGACAACGTTTGTAATCCACAACTCCTGGGCCACTGTCTTGGTCAAAAACATCACTTATTATATCAGTGACTACCTTATATTACACTCACAAACAAAACGTAAACGAAGAAAAATCTAAACAGAACAGTGATTGAAACGGAAATATTGAAATAGAACTGACAATATTTTTTTCAAGATACCTCTCACATTTTATCTGAAACATGTATGCCATATTCTTATTGTCGATCTCTGTATAGTTTTTTTGAAAGGAAACTCGTCCTCCGACTGATCACTTTTGATCGATGATAAACATATATCCATATTATCCAGTGAAATAATGTACATAAAACACCTGACAAACACCATTTCCCCTTTGTCACTTATCTATAAAACTGAGTTGTCAAAGCAAAACCTTGTACAGCATAGTTTATACTATCGATGTCTAACACATCGTTTTTATCATGATTTCTGCTGACTTTACCTTTGTAAAGGTGTAGGTAATGTACGTATTTGTACATATTTACCATTAATACCATTTATGCTGTATCCGAATTTTCCACACGACCCTTACGTTAGAATTGTGAAGAAATGACACTTGGTACCTTTATGGATGGGGAGGGACACCCCCTCAATAAACCATCACTTTATTGTTATGTAGACGAATGCAGTGTCAACGTAACAGTCCGAACTCTGCCGAAGCTGGGCTTACGATATGCATGCGCGCAGGGTGTGGATTGAGTGCAGTTGGTAGGTGCTTTTTCTTCAGTGTAAATAAATATTCAGTTGATCTCCGTGAAGTATCTCTGATCCAAAGGGATATACCGGAAAACCTTCGTGCTGAGATACTATTTAGCTCCGATAAGATTATATGTCTTCAACAGAGGTTTTGAGGACACACACCTTATCGAGACAATGAAAACAATTTTGATTCTGTTATCTAGTGCACTAAACTCTAACGTATCTTAGTAACTGTGTACCCGGTCCTTGTTAGGTCACCCCACGTCTCGGTCTTTGTAAATGGTGTTGGAAATACAACATGTCTTGGGTCACAGTGGAGTTGTCTGTAGTCATAAATATGTGCTAGACTTCTTTTAAAAACTACAAATTCAAAGGTGATTGTGAATCCAACGAGACCTTGACAAATGAGGAATCTCTGATGTCACAACACAAAATACGTGTCTTATCAACATATATATTTAAAATAAAACATATTCGTTCGTTGAGGTCGTGTTTCCTCCTATTTATTAACCTGATTCACGAATCTTTAAAAAAGTCCATTCGCATACTGTGCTCATTGCACATGCGTATACTGTATACCACATACTCTATCGACCGAACTAATATCCATCACCTGTTATTTATCATTAAGACTCAAACACACTTAATAAAATTTAAAACCATTTTGTGACACAATGTTTCACGACATTGTTTTCTGAGAATGAGAAGCTTTACAATGTATCATGCATTGACTTGTGTCACGCAAACACATTACTGCATAAAACCAAACCTAGTGTGCACTGATACATATAATATAACTAGTTCGATTGGTTTTCAAAGCAGCTTGTTAAGTTTTCCAAACCGGTGTTGCTGGTTACTTCTATATTTTGTATATTTAGTTGACATCTCTCTCTTAGACCAATGAGAGGACGACAAATTCCGCCCCATGATATGTATTGATTCTCTTATTGTCTTCCTGTGTCACCAGAACAACGATCACTGCTATTATTAACCCACACAACATTAACTCGCAACAGCAAAACATGCGCATGCTCAGTAGCATTGCAAAATCATACATTGGCGCATGTGACACACACGGGAGGAGTAATCTTCGACGTGGTGAATACAATTCAACGGTAAGCTCCAAACGATATCATTAACAGAGTGCACACGTACAAGAATCTGTACTTTACTAAGAAAGTGTAATCCCAAATATAACACATGAAACATTTGACCACTTTCTAAATGACATTGTGTAATCATAGCTTTCGGTCGTGGGAGCCGTGTCAATTAACAATTATCAGAGGGGTACACAAAGTCCGCAGTCTAGACTACCAGTTGCCCGACTTCGATTTTTGTGGAATTCTCGGTTGCTGAGCGGGTTAGGCGGCTGACTTTGTGTGCAGGCGATTAGGTGCCTGATTCCGTGGGTGGGGGTTCGAATCCCGGATGGGACTCAACCCAACGAAAGTACAAGAATCTGCACTTTACTAAGAAAGTCTGATCCCAAATATAAGACAAGTTATAGGAAAATAGATATTCTAAGTTGAAGAGTTCAAAGACAAGAGTTCATCATGTAGCTACAATACTTTCGGGTTTAGATGGGACATAATCGAGTGAATTGAAATTAAGTCACATCGCAGTATTTCAGCCATATTGTGATTATTTTAAGTTATATATTAATAATAATTATAGGTTAATTAGAAAGAAGTAAAGTAAAGTAAAGTAAAGAAGCAACTAGTTTATCACATATGTAAATTTAAAAAAAACTAGTAATCAGGTTTAAAACATTTTAACTATACAAGACGATACAATATTAAAACAGACTGCCAACAACTGAAGGTGGATCACGATACTAGGGACCATGGGGACTTACAGTTCATTTGCTACCTGTAAGGACCCTTGTTGGATTTACATCTTCCCTTCAGCTATTGGCAAGTTTAGATAATCTAGCCAACATTAATTATAACATATATGCTGCGATTAAAAAAAGTGAGTGAGTTTAAATTAACTTTGAATGTTTTGGGACTTACGTACGGACCTGATCGAGAATATTTATGCAAAAATAGAGACCGTGGCTGGTAACGATATGCCAGTGAATGTGCAAATCGAGTTGTGTTTCGAAAAGGGGAATTGGTTCACACGGTGAATGACCTCTTGATCTACCCTCCCTCCACCTGTCCTGTACCGCATGCCACATGTAGATTCAGAAAGGCGTTCTTGGAGTCCTGTCCTGTATTCCATGGGAGATGTGACAATAAGGTGGTTGCTTGTCACACCCCACATGGGTACAATGTGAGAAGTCTATATCTGGTGATATTGCTGAAATATTGCATGCTGAATAGCCTGGTTTGACTCCCCACATGTGCATAATGAAAGACGATCAAGGTTTGATTGGCGAATACAACGGACGATCAACCACTCTTTTCATCAAATTTGAAAACATTTCTGATATTCAATGCCATTATTTTACAGCAATGGCTTCATGGAGGAAAACTGGTCTGACACTGGTGTTTATCTTTGGAACTTACGTCTTCTGTAAGTAATTGTTTATGTTGAAGCATTGTATTGTACATTCGCTGCAGCCATTCGATGTACGCATAAATGTTAATCACTGGATTGTACACCACACATTGTAAGTGTGTATTGACGTTGGTATTTATCCAAGGTTATCACCCACCTATAACTCATTATTCAGTTTCGAAATGTGAGTTATTTAGAACTGGTAGTTTCTTGATAGGTAGAATTCATATGATGTCTGCTAACAGAACAATGTGTTGGCAGGTATATAGTAACAGGACTGTGTGCATGCGTGTGGTTACATATGTGAAATTTAGTGTCATACCTCATGAACAATTGGTTTCCTTGTCTGCAGTGAACATGAATGGAAAAGAAGTAAGATAATAGATAAAATAGTGTACAACAACGCACATATTATCATTGGATAGCTATTTTGTATGGACGGAAGCCACGTTACCTGTTGAAGTTTACCAACACCTTCTTGTTAATATGCAAAATGAAAATGCGCACAAGTATAACTGATAAACGGAATAAAATATAAACAGGAAAAAAAAGTAAAGGAAAGAATGTATTAACAGTTTTACGTGATCGTCGTGAATTTCTTGTTCTCATAACTTGATCGTGACTATCTTGTACCCAATACCTTCTTTTATACAATACTACATTCCCAATATTTTTACTGAATATGAGCATCTAACGAACAGTCAAGAGTGTAGTGTGTGGAGTCATATTATACGTAGTCGGAGATGTTAACATTCCTCATCATTCATGGATTGTAAGCAAATATATGCTACATCTAGAAATATACTCAGCAGGAAAACAAAACGTCAGTGCGAATTCAAAATTAGATAGACACTGTAATCAAATCATTACAGAAATTGACATAATAGGCAGATCAAAAACATTTCTTGTGTACAATATCTTGACACATCAATGAATAACTTCAGTATCTAGTGTGACCACCACGAGCGGCAATAACTGCAGCACAGCGTCTATGCGTGGAGTGCACCAATCGATGATGAAGGTCATTGGCACCTGGAACCACACTCTAAGAAAGGCCTGGCGCAATAAATCGTCTGTGTTCGGCCTTGGTATGACATTATTCAGTCTCCTCTGAATTTCATCCCAGAGATGTTCAGTTGGGTTTAAATAATACTGTACTGTATCAGTAGTGATTGGTCTTCCGTGTGTTCCCACTGTCTGGTGTGCTGTTTCGGATGCCTGCATGAAGAGATTCTATACATGCTGTCGCACAACATGGCGGTGTTGTCGTCTTGTGGTCACCCTTGGACTGCCAGTACGGGGTGTTGGTGGCCCGGAAACGTTGCTGCAGCCTGTAGATGGTCCGAACGTTGACCCGGAAGTGTCGCGGCATGCTGCTGACGTTGTAATGTGAATGTTGCAACCAGGTTTGGGGGTGCATTTTATAGGGCTGGTCCCTGTGAACAGCACGTGCAGCATGAGTTGCATGAAAACTATGGAGAACACCGTACCATCTCCGAGATCAGGTTGCGTTTTTGAGACCATTTCCTGGGTTCCATTCTGTGTGAGAATGTCTTTGCTCAGGTAAAGTTGGACATATTGTCAGAAATATACAATCAAAACATTAAATGAGTTTACAGTTATCCTTTCTGCGAAAGAAACGCTTTCCAGAGAGTACGTCTTGTTTTCTACACACTGTGTTTATCTGCAATTTAGCCAGGACGTAAAAATGACAATGTATATTTGCAAAGGTAACCTCTATATTCCCTTGATTCCGGGCAGGAAAAAATAAAGAGTGGTTTAAAAGATACACATGCATGTTCATTTGTTTCCTATTACCTACCAGTCCTGCCTTCTCAGAAAAAAAATTCTTCCTCCTCATTATTGTGGTGAACATTCTCACAACGCCATGCAACGTTAATAACTAACGGCATGTGGAGGATTGTAAGAACTATTGCAAAAAAATGTGACACGTTTATAAGCAATTGTTTAGAATAACAGAAATGCATGTACTTTCTTTTTAATTCCCCATTTGGCCACATTTCAATAACCCATAAGAGTCACCTTGGCATTTCAGAAAAATGTTTGCAATACACCCGGGGCAGGCCAGATGACTTTATTACCAGATGACTTTATTGATTAAGTACGACCCTGCTACACGCTGTCCTGGTTTTTGCAAATCCTGGTTGATCAAGCTTCGTTGGGATAACGTGTAATCGGCCGAGATCTGACGTTATCTTTTGTTATGTGACGCCAAGACATTGTAAATAAAAACAGTATGGTCGGTTCATTGTTATTTCAAAGTGACTAATCAGAATAAAATTTCGAAAGATGATACATGGCATATGGTCTTCCGTGTGTTCCCACTGTCTGGCGTGCAGTAGTTTACAGAATAGCGGTAAGAGATCACTTCCAACAAAAGACTCTGTAAAGATTTATTTCATAAATAAAGCGTTTGTCAGTCCCTTATCTCTCTCCGCTAGTGTGCATACCACTTTTGAATCCCCAGCCAACTTCCTGGTCACTATGACCGCGAATCGGCACTTTCCTGGTCACACGGCCTATGACTCAAGCCAACACTTCCTGGTCACGTGCACTATTGTGATCACTCGACAGGGATGTAAGTGTTGTTTGTCCTAGCAATAAATTTTCACATCAATAAACTATGCAATGTTGATCTCAGCGAAACAATTTAATGTGAATCTCCTATGATTCTGGACAGGAAAGAATAAACAGTGGTTTAAAAGATACACATGCATGCTATTTTGTTTTCTATTACCCACCAGTCCTGCCTTCTCAGAAAATAATTCTTTCTCCTCATTACTGTCGTGAACATTCTCACAACGCCATGCAACGTTAATAACTTACGGCATGTGGGGCATTGTAAGAACTATTGCACAAAATGTGACAAGTTATACGCAATTGTTTAGAATAACAGAAATGAATGTACTTTCATATTCAATTCCCCATTTGGCCATATTTCATTTACCCATAAGAGTCACCTTGACATTTCAGAAAATGTTTACAGTTACTACACTCGAGGCTAGTGGACAAAAAACACCAGGGATATTATATGCCAGGTGATATTATTGATTCAGTACGATCCTGTTACGCGCTGTCCTGGTTGTTGCATAACGTGGTTGATCAAGCTTTGTTGGGGTAACGTGTGATCCGCCGAGATCTGACGTTATCTTTTGTTATGCGACGCCAAGACATTGTAAATTTAAAACAGTCAATATGTTCGGTTCATTGTTATTTCAAAGTGACTAATCAGAAAAGCCATCCAATTTCAAAAGATGATACATGAGTATGTCCAAAACTGAATAAGTCTTTAGATGAATGTGTCCGCACAACATTCTATCTATGCATGGGTAATCTACGCATGAATATTTGTACACATTAATATGTCTATGACTATGTCCATACCTGACTATTTACATACATGATTGGGTCTCTTATAAATGCATGTATGTCTATGCGTGAATGTGTCGGTAGATTAATACGTCTATAGATGAATATGTCAATCCATGAATGTGTCTATATAGGAAGACATGCACATCCATGCAAGAATGTGTATAGATGAATATGTCAATTCAAGAATGTGTCGGTAGATAAATATGTCCATATTCCTGCATGAACATACTCATATGTAGAGGCGGTCATGCATGTACAAATTCATATGTAGACACAATGTGTGTATGGATGAATATGACCATGCATTAGTGAGTGGGTGAGTTAAAATTTTACTTCGCATCGGCAATATTACAGCCATATAGCGATGAAAACAAGGTAATCAATTTAAAATATCTGTCGACAAAGGACAGTAAAACCAACTAGACTATCATAGATATGTATTTAAAACTAGTTATTAAATCTAAAATATTTTAACTGTAGAGGATTATACAATATAAAAATAGGCTATAGATCGCCAACAACTGAAGGTAGATCACCACACTAGGGACCATGGGTGACCATGCATGAATGTGCATATAGATACATATTGTAATGCAAGAATGTGTCTACATATGAATTTGTCCATGCATGGCTGTGTCTACAGATGAATATGATCATACATGAACGTGTCTATAGATGAATATGATCATACATGAACGTGTCTATAGATGAATATGATCATACATGAACGTGTCTATAGATGAATATGATCATACATGAACGTGTCTATAGATGAATATGATCATACATGAATGTGTCTATATGAATATGAATATGAACGTGTCTATAGATGAATATGATCATACATGAACGTGTCTATAGATGAATATGATCATACATGAACGTGTCTATAGATGAATATGATCATACATGAACGTGTCTATAGATGAATATGATCATACATGAACGTGTCTATAGATGAATATGATCATACATGAACGTGTCTATAGATGAATATGATCATACATGAACGTGTCTATAACGTGTCTATATATGAATATGATCATACATGAACGTGTCTACAGATGAATATGATCATACATGAACGTGTCTATAGATGAATATGATCATACATGAACGTGTCTATAGATGAATATGTCCATGCATGAATGTGTTCTGAAGATCAGTTTGTCTATGTGCATCTGGGGAGCTCAGATTGGTTGAGTACTGCATTTGCAGTTCTATGACCCTCTGCGGTACCGATGATTCAAACCTAGGTGGGTAACCAACAAAATACGATATCGTATTGGCTTGTAGCATGATCATTATAAAACTCAAGAATTTGGATTAAACGTAGATGTTTACACGGCTGATCTACTTATTGATAAATATGTTGATTTGATTCTGATATCTTTCGTTAAGTTGGGGCGGTGGGGTAGGCTAATGGTTACATCGTCGGCTCGTCATGCTGAAGACCCGGGTTTGATTCCCCACATGGGTTCAATGGGTGAAGCCCATATCTGGTGTCCCCCAATGGATATTGCTGAAATATTGCTAAAAGCGACATAAACCTACCCCCTCCCTTAAAACCACTCACTCACTCACTCAATGTTAGGTCCACCTAACATGACGAAGGCAAAGGCTGAGTGGGGTGTGTGTTTTCAGCAGCAGGATAATCTGTTTGTATTCTTATCAAATGTGTTGGAATAAGTTACATCTATGATCTGTTTGTAGAGTTTTCCAAGAAATGGATAAATTTTCTATTCAAACATAAGTCATATAGTGTAACTGTATTCTGCAGAACGGAATGTAGAAAAGCAATGATACTGCCATGATAATTTAATAGGACGTTGTTTGGTGGAGAGCTCATCAGCTTACACAAACAAACTATCAACCGGTGAAGTTCTGACGATTTTGGCTTTAGTGATGAACATAATCGCCTAATGATTTAAATTGTTTTACAAGACCCACCATAAATGATGGACCCGTAATCAAGTTTAAAACGGATCATTATGATCGACTCAATTATATATATAATATAGGAAGGATGGCAATCCATTTATGTCAACAATAGGACGATTACATAACCAAAAGCCAAATGGTACTCGTATGCCTTCCACTTTTGGGGTTTCCCATCTTCCACCAACCCTGACCTGTATCCCAGCTTGAAATAATAAAACCGGTTTTGTATCTACATTTCCCCTGCCACTGTGGATAATTGTACTTCAATATGAAAAACATACTTCAACATTAGCATACTCACAAAAAAGACTGAGATAAACTTGATTTTTCTTCACCAAATATATTACAAATTCGTTATCCAAAACAAAGCAACTCAAAACAACGTCATAAATGGACCAAAAAACTGGCAGAATGTGTTTGTAAACTTTAAAATGTTATAAATATGTTATATTTTTAAAACGTCTTTTAATATTATAAAAATATATTTTCGCTCATTTGCTGGTATGGTATCTAGTTATGAGAAACACAAAACAAAATATGGATTGCCATAGCATTAGCCACACATAAGATCTTCAACGGCGCAGAAAGTTAAGAAAACTAAATGCAGCAATGTATGTATGCTTATTGCTTATGCAGCTTAGTTCAGCCCTACAGCTAATGTTTGATACACTTTTTTCAGGGACACTGAGGTTGAAACATTCAGCCTTACCGAGCCCACTGGTAAGTGCTAAACGGAAAAACACAGTTTTGTTTGCATTTTTACAAATTAAGATAACTTGCAGTAGAGAGAGGTCGGGTTGTCCAGGCACAGTCTGGCTAGTAAGGGTTATAATCATCTCAGGTACCCTTGCCCCCTCTACATGCAGCACAGACAACGAATGGGACTTCTCCCAGGACGCGCTGACTAGTCGATCTTACCTGGAGACTGTGGAGACTCCCCAACACTGTCGATGTCCCCATTACCCAGAGTGTCAGAAGGGCTGTATTATCGATTGAGAATCCTGGCACTCTCCTGATCTACGCCAAGGGAGCAGGAGGTACCTAACCCTAGGATCCGAGAGCAATGGGTAGTCTGACGACAGTGAGCTTGGGATGCAAGCTAGGAATTTCAAGGGTGAAGTGGGCAAATTTATCATGCTTATCCTGAATCTTGACAATCATATTGAGACACACATTTCAATTAAATGGTATTATCAAAACGGGACAAGATCAGGTTTGTTAACAGGAATTTGTATAGGATGCATATGGACCTGTTCCAAAGAAGTTAAAAATTGTCATTTTCCATGACGCCCTGGACATATTCGTGGTTGAACAATAGATGCCACGCCATCATGTCGCTAAAGATGCGATGTTTTTGCCAATGAAGGTCATCCATTGACAAGGTGTTCTACAGTCAGACAAGACAAGACACGAATTTTATTGCATTCAAAGCCTACGGCCAACATTTATACATAAGTATCTTTTACAAATCAATTGTTTGTTGCTAATCTTTCAGCAATAATTTATCCCTTAACTTACTGACATGTTTTATAAACAATGACAGATTTCTGATATTTTGTTTATTGCACGAGCATAATAATGACTTAAAAGCTACACCGGAGTGTTTTGAGAGGTAATAGTCTGGTATATATTTCTTTCTAATGTCAACATATGATTTACAGATAAAAGTAAAATGCGTTTCGTTTTCTACTGCTTCTTTGCATAATGGACAGATTCTTCGATTCCTTTCAATGGACATTTTCCTCTCAATTCATTTACCATCAAATTTAGCAATCCTAGTCTAAATTTTATCAACTTAAATCTTTGCATCTAAGTGTAGACAAATATTTTTCTGGTTGTAGTAAAGTTTCAAATGTCTTATAACAATCATAGCGTGCTGTATTATACAAACGTGATTGCCATTCTTTGTGAAACATTAATAGCTCGATTGCGAAAATCGTTAATAAAAACATCAATATGGCCAACAGTTTGGTTTAACCAGACATACCGATTACCGCGAGAAAATATTAAATATCTAATATCTAAAAAATATCATTACTCATGATCAGAAAATGATTAGTGTACACTCCCACGATGACTGTGACTTGAAAGCTGGTTTGTAGGTATGTATGTATTTGATACGGAATGCCTGTTACATGTAACAAGTACTGCTTGGAAATAATTATATAAGGACGTACTATTATTAATCAGATATTATATTATTCTAGATAATGATTTGTACACTCCCAGGATGACTGTGGCTTGAAAGCTGGTATGTATGTATGTATGTATGTATGTGCGTGCGTGCGTGCGTGCGTGCGTGCGTGCGTGTGTGTGTGTGTGTATGTATGTATGTATGTATGTATGTATGTATTAGATGATGTCTGACTTTCCTCGTGGAGGGTGGTTGGACTGATAGTGGACATACTGAATCCAACAACCAGATCCCATTCCTAGACGTCCTTGTATCCCGCACCGATTCCAACCAACTTCAGACATCTGTATACCGGAAACCTACCCACACCAACCAGTATGTCCACTATCAGTCCAACCACCCTCCACGAGTAAAGTCAGGCATCATCTCCCCGCTTACCAGAAGATCTAAGAACATTTGTTCTACGAATCTCCATGAGGAAATCAACCACCTGAAAGAAGTATTTGTCAGCCTAAACCACTACCCACCCCAGTCACTGAACTGGGCCCGGTTGCTCAAAGCACCGTTATTTTAACGTACCGTTAAACACTAACGACCCGTTAAATAGCTAACGAAAAGTTAGTTAACAGTACGTTAAAATTTGGTTGCTGGAAGGTGTTTTTAACAGGCCGTTAACTAATGGTATGATTAGAGGTTAACAGCCTGTTAAGGACCTAACCATTACCCACAATTCCTTGAATACTGTCCCATGATTTCCTGTGAAAATGGCATCGCAACAAGAAGCACCTGAAATGAGCCCAGTAACCTCTGACTGTAAAAATAGAAAAAGAAGAAATAATTTCAGTGCTGAAGAAGAGAATGTCATTCAGGCAATGTTTCAGGAAAATGCTGAGATTCTTAATAAAAAATTCAGCAATGAGGTGACTAATAAGGGCAAGGCTGCAATCTGGCAGAAACTAACAGATTGTGTAAACAACAAAGGCGTTTGCTGCCGTACTGTGGATCAAGTTAGGGAAAAATGGGGAAACATGGCCCAAAAAGCAAAAAAGACATTCAGCGATTACACGATGCAGCAGAGGAAGACGGGGGGAGGGCCCCCACCCCCAGAGATGAGCCAGGCAACGGCAACCATCATAGATTCTATAAAGGATACAGCCTCTAACAGTAGCGTCCATGCTAACATGTTCTGAGAGGAACACAGGGGCGTGTCACGCTTACAGCGTTAAAAAGACATATAGGTATAAAGACCCCATCCTAGTACTATATAAAAGGAAAGGGATGTAACGACGGAACCACCCCCTCCTCAGTCAAAGTTAGAAAACTATTTGTAAGGCCCCGTCGAGGCCTACGGATCGAAAGCGAGATGATTTCCCTACAAACTGAACTATAAATGGTCACATTATTTCAAAAGTTATACGCCACGACTCACCGAAAACAGCTACCTCCGCAATTCCAAGCCAAAATCATGGATCACCCAAGACAGCGAAAACTCACCTTTTAAATTCGTTTATTAATTCCAGCCACGTTGACAGCACCTATGTAGGGCTAGATTCGATCGGCAGCGGCATTCCACGGGTCTAAAAACTTATTGCATATTGAAACGTCTACAAATCCTTTCCCCGAGAGTAAACAGGCATTTTCTCCCAAACCATCGACAACCAACATACCCAAGATTGTCGGCCATAATGGCCTTGAAGTTTGACATTTAAGTGATGTGAGGAACAGTAAATTGTTCAGAATAATTTTTTGAGAATAATTTTAGAGGTTTTTTAGGCGTATAACTTTTGAAATAATGATCCGATTGTGACCATTGATAGTTCATTTTGTAGGGACATCATCTCGCGTTCGATCCGTAGGCCTCGACGGGGCCTTACAAATAGTTTACGTGGTGAAATCTAACTTTGATTGAGGAGGGGGTGGTTCCGTCGTTACATCCCTTTCCTTTTTTATAGTACTAGGGTAGGGTCTATATACCTATATATCTAACGCTGTTTCTAAGCGTGACACGCCCCTGTGGAGAGGAAGAGGAAGTGACAATCAGCGCCACCGTTGAACCTCAGTTATCCATTGAGATTATAACTAGCCTGTTTCAGAAAGGTTTACATACTACTAAGTGCATATAATTTTCTATCCCTATACATTTGTATCACAATAAATTCAATGAATTAAAATTTCATAGTATGCAGATGATACAAAAATGTTAGGCATGATGTAATATCCCTGTTTTCAACGATGTAAGACAAAAACGTAATTTTCATCATTAATGTCAATTAAAGTTTTTATTTTACTAACCTTGAGTGATAAATGATGTTTTCATCTATCAAACACAAAATTATCAAGTGTTTTCTCCAAATATAACGTTGATGTCATCGTAATATCCCATAGGCGTATCTGTTCCCGCTCCCCACATCTGGTGATTTAGTATGGGTTGTCGACGGTGGTGTTTGAAAGAGCCTTATTTATCGCTCCGTAGAGAGAGTTGTGATCCTATTTATAGATTACATGTTACTAGTAGACAACCGATGTTACTGATTTTACTAAACATTACGATTGCTATTATTTAGTTTTGGCAGTTTGTTTTGCATCAATAGTGATATGAATGATCTAAAGATACTGATTTAAAAAAAATATATAAACTAACAGTTGTGAATAAAATTTCTCAAGACAAAGATTGGGCATCCACTCAATCGATGACACTGCTCCCGCGCACTTTAATAGCACAGATTTATTTGAAACATAGAAATAAATATATGTCTTGTATTTCATCAAGGTTATGTTTCATTGCATGGAGAGTGGAAATACATATGTTACATTATAATTTCAACAAGGATAACAAATCAATTATAATTGTGAATGACCATAAATGAAAAAATCATAGTAATTTCACAGCTTCAAAGGTAGCAACATATCTAATGACTACTAAGTCATGATAACACACAAAACAAATGTATTCACTTGAATTGAATAACAGATTTTATTAAATGTATGAAAGTTGTGAATGAAGACATTATAGTAGCATTATATACACAAATCTATACAGATAATATATTTATTCTGTACAACTTCATTTCTTATGAAAGAAAATATAAAAATGATATGAAACTGATTGTCAATTTTTCATTTCTTTTTAAATTGTTGATTCTAAATATAGAAAGTAATGATGAAAATAACAAGACATCATATTGCAGCTTCAAAACATCAGTTACTAAATTGAACTTTACATAAGTATTAATTAGTAAACAATGAGGTGTATGCCACATTACATTATATTAGTATATTTAAATCTGATGCAGTGTAACACTTGTCAATTACAGAAACAGTCAATCTGGAAGATATGGAATTAGTATCTTTTTCTACAAATAATCAGCAAACTATTCCAACCGATCCTGAATCTGGCGTCGAACTACCAGCATCACCTATGGATACACCAATTGAACGTTCTAAAATTCAATCATCAAGCAGGCAAGATGAAGTGCAGACAGAGATGGTCCAGGGCAGACTGAGAAAATCCAGGAAGACTAAACACAGTAATGACGATGTACTCCATATGCAGTACCAGGTCTTAACAGGAGAGAGAGAGAACCAGAGTCTGAAAAAAGAAAAACTGATATTAGAGAAGCAGAGGTTGAAACTACAGATTGAACTACTTCAACGCCTGTTGGCTCAGAATGATTTGGACGTTAACCTTAATCCAACATAGCTTCTGATGTCTATGCTGCATTACTAATTTCACAATTAATGATGTCATTGTTATTGTAATAGTTTGTTGATAATGATTAAGTGAATAAGATGGTAAATATACTTAAATTGTTTCTTCCACATTACTCTATCTGTATATACAAACTTCTATTAACTATTAACACTCATATCAAATTATAATGGTGCTCAATATCATTTGAGTAAATATTAATTTGTTCAAAATGAGCTCTTTTTCATTTATGAATCAACTTAGCCAGTGTAATTTCATAACAAGTATCAAAAGTTAAAATTCCTGAGTCTCTTTATTGTTTTTAATCAAAGGGAGACAATCCACATACATCACACCTTTGACATTATCTCACTTTGACCATGTCTTATGTCATTGTGATTTTGTTTCTTAAAGACAAAGCTATTTTGAATTAGATTCAGTAAATACAGATATTATAAAAAAATAATATATTTGTTTCATACATATGTAATGTTTCAGTTGTGCTTGTTTATTACAATATTTTTAACATATCCCTGTAAATTAATACACTGGTAATCTTGAACTGACCTAAACATGGTGTTTTATATACAGATTATATTTATAAAACAACTTCTACTTACCTAGTTAGCAAAGAAAGTACTTGCTATATGATCCCTGATAGCCTTGACGTCATTCCGTCCTCTGTAGTGGTCAATGAGTGGCTGGTCCTGTCTCACATGGGCATCATCGGCATCAAGAACCTCATTCCGAAGGATAGCTATGTTGTGCAATATTGCGCAGGTCAATATCATTTTGCACACCTTTCCCGGGTTCATACGGATCTAAAACAAAAGTTAAAAAGCATATCACATTATTTGCTAATTAAAAATCATATAAGCAATCAAACATTATTTATGTATTGAAAACTTTATCTAAGAAATATGTTATTTTACATATCTTACTGAAAATATTACATTTCCTTTAAACTGCTATCTGCCCTTACTTTAAATCAATTGCGAGGAAATGCATATATCTTAATACCTCAGAATGCAGAACATGAAACCTTCGTTTTAATCGGCCAAAGGTCCTCTCTATGGTTACTCTGGTTGTACACAGTCTGTCATTATACCGCTGTTGAGGGTTCCCTTGTGGGTGAAGGTAGGGAGTGAGTAAGTAGGGTCTGCAAACACAACATCAGTATGAAGGAAGCATCCACTGGAAATGTTGACTAATTTGAATTAAAAAAAATATTTCACTTCACTAGAAAAATACAATATTATAATTTACATGTATGGAAAACTACATTTGACTTATTGAGCAATAATTATTAGCCGACAACTGGAATTTAGGCTTTCCAGCAAATTAGATTTTAAACTGTAAGGTTTTTCATGTAAGATATGAAAATTTAGACTATACCAAGGGAGCTCACTCTCACATTCTGTTTTCATTTAAAAGAGATGACAGTTTTCAATCATGTACACTGAAGTGATATATCGGCTTTACTTGCCACACTTTGAAACAAGTAAACATTGCAAGTAAGTTTTACTGTAAAGGTGTTGTTTACATAAAAGGCATAGTTTCATTTTGCGAACATTTTAACATATCTATAACAATATTATCAGGTCCATATGCTTTCTCCCTCTTTAAATGTCTTAAAGCTTCCCATATTTCCATTTCTGTTATTGGAAAATCTATAGCTAATACCTGTTCATCACCATCATCATCGTAATCGGAGTACATGGTATCATCAAGTATAGTCGATTATTGTTGAATATCTCAATATTTGCAAATGCATTTTTTAAGTGTCCGAGCCATTCACATTTAGAAATAGGAGAAGTTATCTTTCCCCTATCGTACTGTAAAAAGATCGGATTTGTACTTTCCACAGCAAGTCATACATGTATATGCATTGCTCTATCAACAAGAAATTGCGTGGTTCTAAATTGCCTTACATCCCTGAACGATGCTCTTTTTGCACTTAAGCAGCCTGGATTTGTTTACTGAATTCGAATTTGTGTTATAATAAAATCGTTTTTTTTTCATACAATCCGCAGAATCTATTACAATATCTACAAAGTCAGCAATAGCACGATTCACGTCCACTTCGATTGTCTCGCTTAAACTCTCAACATGGGTCAACTACCGTTTCTGTAAATTGTGAATTAATGTTTCAGAAAGAGAATAATTCCAAATGATCTTTTCTTCAAATAGATTATCAGTGTCACTCACTGTCAGCAAATTTACATGCTAACTGTAGAGGAAGATGGTCAGAATCGAACTTGTTTCCTACATTGAACGTATCAAAATGCTTGAAGAAATTTGGTGAACAAATGAAGCAGCCATTTACACTTAAGCCTTGTCGACCATAGTATTCAGCTACTGCGTCAGAAAACAACATGGAAATCGAAAACAAAATAACAATGAAGTGAATTTCTTCTTTGTTTCACTGGACAAACTTCTGTTCGTATCGTGAAATTTTATCCAGGTGCGTTACACAGGCTACGGGTGTGAGTTTGTATTTGCAGATGTTGCAAGGGAGTTAACAATACACAGAACAACAACATGAGATAGCATCGTAAAAACATAAATATGGACTTGAAAATTGTCTTGATATAGGCATAATATATCAACTAATTGTATTCAAAATATTCCCGATGTTTATTATAATGTCAGATTTTTATCATAATATCAGGCCACATTGTTGTGACAACATGAATTGGAGTGAAAAGAATAACGTTATATGGACGTACTATCATCAAGTTCCTACAACGTAAAATACAACGTTATCACAACGTACTTATATCGTTCCTATAACATTGTGACGACATGAAAATGACGCATTACAACGCCACGTCACAACGTTGCGACCACGTTAATGGGAGTTTACAGAATAACGTTGTACGGGCGTAATATCATAACGTTTCCACAACGAAATTGTTAGCTGGATAACTCTGAGCTCGAGAGGTTCCCTAAGCAAGATTTATACTGAGCCCAATTTTTCTCTTGATTTTGGGCATTATGCAGGTTGTCTCGAACATCCAAGATAGGTGCAAGCCTGATCCTACCAAAAGACGCTAAATCATTCATCCCACATATAATCTAACTGACCTCAAGGATTCCGAATTTCCGTCCCCGTGAAACAACATTGCATTCACGATCGATGGCAAACCATTTGCAAAGTCATAGAACGCAATAAAACGTTTTCCTTGTTAGTTTTCCCTCACGTGTCGCCTATATCGTATGAACAATCTGACACTGTTTTGTAATGTTTCAGACCAATAGTATTCCACACCAACAAATTCTCCCATCCGGGATGGAAGTGATCTTCAACATAGACAAGGACACTAATAAGGTGAGCTGGTTCACCTATATCCTGTACTGTCTTGAGATAAAGATACTTAATGTTCACATTTCACATTTAGTATGTTAACATTGTTAATATGTTAAGGCTTAAACAATACTCAGGATTTGTGTACCAAGTGAAATTAAGTCTGAAAGCCAGACCCTGAGAGGGAAATATTAACGTACAGTTCTGGCGACAGAATGGGATGTTATTTTTGACAATCAGAAATGATATAACTTTAAGGCTGCCTTGCCAGACCACCTTGCAGGGATCCTGTTTAGTTGCAATATATTATTTTGGTTGTGGTGAACCTTTAGCTATTTACTGGAAAGTTTATCTTAATAACTGTTTGAATCGATTTTTATCAAATCAGCTCATGATATATCATTATGGACAGTAATATTTTCTGTGTTCGTCACAGATATTATTGGTAACGGCATGCAGACTTTGGGTTGACATTGTCTGTAGGACAAACAATAATAAGTGAAGATAAGTTTCTTTTTCTTTTGCATTTTAATATTTGTAACATTACATAATTTCGTTCAATATTAATAGTTCGATGCTTTACAAAATATGAAAAAATACCAAATGTATCAAATATATTTTAGGACTATGAATACATAATGCCTTTAGTGAAAAAGTGTTATCCCAAAGTAGTAGCACAATGGGGGTTCTGCATCACATGCAGCTTAGAGGCTTATTTATTGGACTTAAGCCTCCAAGCCCACCTTAAAATCGGCGAGGGTGTAGCGCGAGGCATCCTTTGATTAAATATGAGTGACAGAGGAATATCATCATGTGGAATGACAAATTACAATGCCTCATCACGTGATATGCAAACCGCTTTTAAACAATGATGATGTGATCGTCAATTGTGTTTAGCTTGGCTTCGGCCAGAACCCTGATCTCATCGTGTTTTAAGGCCTTCCGTTGCAGGCGACGCGAAATGAATTTCAGGGTTACTCCCACCAACCACGATACTCCGACGGCTATTTCCATCCCAGGACGATGGGTGTGGCTATGATGGTGGATAATAAGCCAACGCCTGCTTCGCCCAATCCCATGGCAGCTGCCATGAGAGATGTGTCCACGCCGTGGATGACATTGACAGCTCGATGGTACTTTTTGTGCAATCCGTTGCGTTCTCGTTCCAATCGGTGTTTAATTTCACAGATCTGTCGCAACCGAAATCCATCCACGGTTTCGAGCGTTTGAGCCACGTCTTCCATGGCTGGAAACAATCCCATATCGAGTATATGACGAGTTTAGGAAATTAGCTTCAATTGGTCCGCCGTCAATCTTTGTTTGATATATTTATAGCTAATGAGGTTGAGATTGGCATATAAATAAACCCTTGATATTTTAATGGGTTTCAGGGTATCTGGAATACAAACAAAAACTCCTACCTGGTTGGTCGTGGGAACTGTGCCAGGTTGCATATAAATACGGCAACGTGGATGGTTATGTCCGGGACCCCAGCATATGTTTACCCCATGCAAAAGGATCACCTCATTTTCGGGGTAATTTCCAAGATAGCATTCTATAATCGGTGTTGAATGTAATTTCATACTGAAATCGGGATTTAAAAAATCAAATTGATATGGGGGAATACCACATATCAGTGCGGCTTGTTTATGGGTGGGGGCTAACATAGAGCCACTATGATCTGGTATTTGCAAAAGTTGTATCGAATGAGGTGCTGGAGTGGCAGGCGTCCAAATAATCCCTTTATTTTTTACTTTGATAACGTAACCATTATCATCTAAAGATAGGTAGATG